TCAATAAATCCAACTTCTGAGAAGTTTTGTGGTGATAAATCAACTGTGTAGATTTTGAATATTGACAGTTTTACAAAAAGTGATGGCGGAACAACAATGTACTTTGAAGTTTTTGGAGTTGAGGAGCTCTGCAAATGGCTGCGGGGGAAGCCTGCGCCAACCCACAGGAGGAGCTCCCAAGGCCAGCCAGCCGCCCGCTCACAGAGCCCTCTGCCCCTGCCGTCACACAAACCGCTGCAGCAACAACGGCAGAGGAAAACACAACTGTAAGGTTTTCATGCCGCTTATCTGTCTTTACATTCTGAGTAATTTTGAAACATTTTAACTTAAATAAAGCTGTGTGGATCGCTGGTGTGTGTGTGTGTGTCGCATTGAACATTACATCGCGGCAGTTGTGTGAGGGGTAAGTTAGCCTACTATCTCTATCTGCAATGGAAAACAGAGCACGGCCAAACTGAGTCAAGTAGAGTTGAGTCAAGTCAAGGCGAGTCGAGCTGGTACTGGTAATGGAAAAGCGGCATAACTAATCACTGCTTTAGTATAGGCTTGTAAACAAGTCCAAGGTCAGATTACCTGTTTTGAACAATGGATGCCAACAATGGACAGAAAGCAAGGGGTGTAGGACAACTTGGAAGAGGACTAGGTGGAAGATGACGAGGGCAAAGAAGAAAAGGAAGTAGAGCCACTTCTGAGGGGATCAGGACCACACTTCATCAACCACAGGTTGACAATGAGAGAAGCTGGACTGAGAGTCCAGCCAAACTTGAGTCGCTTTACAATGGCGATCAACAATTGTTGATCTTTGTTGTTGTATATTGCAGCCTGCCCATGTCCCTGGCAGTGGCAGCAGCGTACCAGATGGTGATGGAGGTGTAGCTGTTGGTGTACAGGGAGAAGAGCAGAGGGGAAAGAACGCAGCCTTAAGGGGAACCGGTGCTGATGGTCCTGGAGTCAGAGACATGTTTTCCCAGCTTCACGTGCTGCTTCCTGTCCGTCAGGAAGTCTGTGATCCACCTGCAGGTGGAGTCAGGCACGCTCAGCTGGGAGAGCTTGTCCTGCAGCAGGGCTGGGATGATGGTGTTAAAAGCAGAGCTGAAATCCACAAACAGGATCCTGGCGTAGGTTCCTGGGGAGTCCAGGTGCTTGAGGATGTACTGAAGGGCCATGTTTACTGCATCATCTACAGACCTGTTGGCCCTGCAGGCGAACTGCATGGGGTCCAGGCGTGGGTCTGTGATGGATTTTAGGTGGGACAACACAAGGCGTTCAAAGGACTTCATAACCACAGAGGTCAGGGCGACGGGTCGTTTAGTCGTTTAGGCAGTGGTCCTTGGTTTCTTGGGGACAGTGATGATGGTGGAGGCTTTGAGGCAGGCTGGTACATGGTATGTCTCCAGTGAGGTGTTAAAATTGTCTGTGAACACTGGAGACAGCTGATCAGGGTGGATGGAGAGACAGAGTCCGGCCCAGCTGCTTTGCGGTGTTTCTGCCTCCTGAAAAGACCGTTGACATCCCTCTCTGTGATGGAGAGAGGAGGGAAGGGGGTGGAGCTGGCCAGCTCTGAGGAGGGAGGGGAAGATGTGGTGGACTGAGGCTGAAGCTAGGCGGAGGAGTCACGGGGGATGGTGTCCGATTGACTCTCAAAGCGGCAGTAGAACTGGTTCAGCTCATTTGCAAGACAAGAATCGTTTATGGAGTGGGGGAATTTGGGTTTATAGTTTGTGATCTGTCTGAACCCCGTCCAGACTGAAGTGGCGTCGTTTGCAGAGAACTGGTTCTTTAGTCACTCTGCGTACAGTCGTTTAGCTTCTCGCACCTCCTTACTAAACCTGTACTTTAACGCCCTGTCACCACTCCTAAATGCCTCCTCCCTTTTCAACCTTAGCTGTCTGAGTTTAGCTGTGAACCAGGGTTTGTCAGTGTTATAACTCACCCTGGTTCGTGTTGGAATGCAGCTGTCCTCACAGAAGCTGATGCAGTGTCACGAGCTGAAGCTGTCTCCGAGATACATTGGTCCCTTGGTGATTGAGAGAATCATCACCCCAGTGACCGTTTGGCTTCGACTGCCCCCCACACTCAAGGTCCATCCAATGTTCCACGTGTCCCTGCTCAAGCCTGTCCTCATCAGCCCCCTGCTCCCACCTCTCCCGGCCCCTCCACCCGCCCGGCTCATTGATGGCCACCCTGCGTTCACGGTACATCGGATTCTGGACTCCCGCCGTCGGGGGCACGGCATGCAGTATCTCATCGACTGGGAGGGCTACAGCCCTGAGGAGAGGAGCTGGGTTCCCCGACAGGAATGCTGGATGCTGCCCTCATACCGGCTTTCTATCGGTCTCACCCTGAGAAGCCTGGAGGACCACCAGGAGGCGCTCGTCGGGGAGGGGGGTACTGTCACGAACCCCCGGTCGTGACCCTGACCTTCCTGTTAGGGATGTGTGTGTGTGTGATTGTAGTTTTTGAGTTCTTTTCCCCTTGGGGAGTTTATGGTGTGCTTGGTGTGTTTTGGGTTTTGTCTGTCTCTCTGTGTTGTGCTTTCTCCCTCATGCTCTGGGGCTGCTGGTGGGCATGGTGAGCTCCAGTTTACGCACCTGAGACTCATCCAGTAAATCAGCACACCAGTGCCTCAGCCTTCAATCAACTCACCTTAAAAGACCAGCCCAACCTTCCAGTCCCCGTTGGAACACGCCAGCCTGTTGCCCATCCTGAACAGTATCTTGTCTGAACCCTTGCATTAGTATTAACTTGTCTTTCTGTCTCGACCACAGCATACCTGCCCATACCTGACTTGGATTCCCTCCTGTGCCACGGAAACCCCTGAGCTCTGGAACCAGGATCACATGCCCCTTGGAACAACCACCCATCCTCAAGCCACACCTGTCTCTCCCTTGTGTTCAATAAATCTTCGCACTGCTCATACTCTGGTCTGAGTTTCTGGTCCTGGTCCTGACATGCAGGACGTCACAGCCTCTGTAAACTCATCCAGATTGTTGGTAGCCTTCTTGAAAACATCCCAGTCAGTACAGTCCAAACATGCCTGGAGGTCCTCAACAGCTTCACTAGTCCACTTCTTTGATGTCCTCACTACAGGTTTACAGAGGTTTAGAATCAGGATCAGATGGACCATCACGTGATCAGAGTGTCCCAGTGGAGCGCGTGTGACGGCGTGATAGGCACTGCTAACTGTGGTGTAGCAGAGATCCAAAGTGTTCCCCTCTCTGGTTGGACACTTTATAAACTGTCTGTATTTGGGGAGTTCTTGGCTGAGATTTCCCCTGTTAAAGTCACCGAGAACAATAAAAAGGGAGTCCAGGTTTGTATGCTCCACACACAGTATCTGGTCGGCCAGAATGCTCTGTGCGTCCTGAACGTTGTTGTGCAGCGAGATGTAAACACCGACCAGAGTGAATGAAGCAAACTCACGGGGGGAGTAAAACGGTTTACAGTTAATGATAAGAAATTCCATATTAGGAGAACAGTGCTGTTGAATCACTGTCACGTCGGTACACCAGCCATCGTTAATATAAAAACAGACACCTCCACCTTTTGTTTTGCCGGAGAGTTCTGTGTTGCGATCCACTCCGTACAGTTGGAAGCCAGCCAGCTGTAGCGCGTAGTCCGGTATCAGCTCACACAGCCACGTCTCCGTGAAGCACAGAACAGAAGATGAATAAAAGTCTCTGTTTTTCCCCACCAGAAGCTGAAGTTCGTCCAGTTTGTTGTAGTTTTGTTGTGAGTGCACGTTGGAGAGAAATATTGCCGGTAGGGGTGTGCGGAGTCCCCGCCGGCGAAGACGCACAAGCGACCCGGCTCTTTTCCCTCTCCTGCAGCAATTCACAGCAATCACAGCCGAAAACTGAATTAACACACAAAAACAAAACAAAACAAAGCGCACCGAACACCGAGGCAGCTATACTCAGCGCCATCTTGCATAATATTTTAATAAAAATACGATGTCAAAAACCCGGTCAGTAGCATTGTGTTTCTGCTTTGCAAGACCCACTCAGAGAGCCAAGCGTGAGTGGCTGCGTGATCGTTTCTAAAGTCCTCTGTTTTGGCCCGGCTTAACTAAAATGCCCTCCAGAGTTTTGAAACGCAAAAACGGGGTCGGGGTCTGAACGGAGGTGCAAACGTAGCAGAAGGTCTCCGTTTTAATTCGAAAACGCAGTAGTGTGGATGGGGCCTAAGTGTAGCATTTTGATAGTTTGTGTTTGTAAAAGGAAAGCAGTTCACTTCCTGTTAGATTTTTGTTTTATGCAATTGAAAGCTGAGTGAAAGGCTGAGAAATATCTAATGGTTTTGGAGATTTGAGGTGAGGTTATGCTCCTTGAGTGCGGGGTTTCAGAAATCTTGTGACATGTAAAGATTTTGTGTCTAAACAGTTGTAAAAAACTATAGTGACTTTGCTGTAAATCCTGTTGCTGCTCTAGAAACAACATTAATTGTAAGAGTTTATTGTGATGCCTTGCATCCGCGGGTTCCCAGCTCACTCGTGCTGGGACCCCTAATTAATTTTTGTTGATAGAATTGTTGTGAATCTTGTTGTGGGTAGATAAAGAATGAGGTTGTTTCCATTTGCTTAACAGACTGACTTTGGGTAGGCAGGGCTATACCACTGTGAGGTGTGGGGAGGGGGGAGGGGGCTGCTCTCCATGGCTCAAATTGCCATCATTAAGAGAATGACTATTCCAGTATCAGTATGAAGCTTTATCTCTGGAGATCCACGAGGAAAGTATATCTTCCACTGTCCAACACCGCGGGCTGCTGTTGGAGTCAGCATCACACAGAGTTAGTGTTGATCCAGGTAAGCTTCATTTACAGTCTTTCAGCACAGTTACGTATGTTTGAACTTAATTAGAATGCATTTTAAACAATGTTAGACTCAAATGTTATTAATATAATGGCATGAATATGATGCAGCCTTTAAACTCCATCTTTGTAATGTGAAATTGCTTCCATCTTTGTCAGACTGGACTTTACAGAAAGGCCTGTGGAGTTCAGCTATGTCTTATCTCAGGACTGTTTTAAACGACTCTGTCATCATTCATCCTCCAGGTTTTTATATCATCGGATTTGAGACGTATCCCTTCATCAGTGTGTACTTCATCTTTCTAGCATTTGTTTATGTGGTGACATTGCTGTTCAATAGTTTGGTGATCTATGTCATAACCTTTAATCATTGTTTACACACTCCAAAGTGTTTGGCTATTGTGAACCTCGCTGTAATTGATATCATCCTTAACTCATGCCTTATTCCCAGCATGATAAAGGTATTTCTCCTTAAGGACAATTTTATTCCATTCAACTTATGTTTGGTACAAATGTTTGTTTACTATGCTTTCGGGACTTTGGAGTCATATGCACTGGCTATACTTGCCTATGACCGGTTGATTGCAATATGTTTCCCTCTGCGTCACAACGCAATTAACACACTGCAGAGCATGTCTTGTATTGTTGGCCTGAGTTGGGGTATTGCTCTTGGAATAGTTGCGTTTGCAACAGGTATAATGACTCGATTGTCTTTCTGCAATTCTGTCAGAGTGTTCAGCTATTTCTGTGACTACGCACCTGTGTTTAGACTCGCCTGTAATGATTACACATTGCATTGGTCTGTGGCTTCAATATCTAGTTTGGTGAGTCAGGTTGGCCCCTTATCTTTTATTATACTGTCCTATGTCAGCATCCTGGTGACTGTGTTCAGGATGAAATCTATAGACAGTCGGTTGAAAGCTCTGGCCACTTGTGTTGAGCATATTATCCTTGTTGCTGTATATTACATTCCAATTATGACCATTTTTTCTATTGGATTTTATCTGCGTCTCATTGACCCAGACCAGCGTGTGCTGAGTCTGTCACTGGCCTCTTGCATCCCACCCTGCCTCAATCCTATTGTATATTCTTTGAAAACCAAAGAGATCAAAATCAGAGCCCTTGCACTGGTCAGAAAAAATACGTTTGATACAGACCAACATAAGAGCAAACCTCAGAGGGTTAATAAAACATTGCAATAATTTAGGACAATTATTTTCTTCAGTGAGTGAAGAGCCTGAACTGTGTGTTATCTTAATAACGCCTGTCAGCAGAAATGTCAGGGTCAGTGTCCAAAAGGCTATGAGCAGGATACTGTATTGCAAACTACTCAATTTAATGTAAATGTGATTTAATTAAAATTGCTTTACATGTAATATACTAATGCAAACCAATCTTTCTGGCTGTAGAGAGTCGGTTATTCACTCAAGGGCTTAAACTTAATAAAAGTACAATTGGACTTGATCATTTTACCACATTTATGTAATGTTTACTTTAGCTGTATTCTATAAGTGTTGAGAACCTTGTTCAAATGGTCTGTCTTTTGTTTTCCTACATATCTGACTTTTTACAGACATTAAATGTATTATAAATATCATCAGAGCCAATTTGATGCAACCGTATATAAAATCTTTAATCATCTAGTTCATCAGTGATACTTAACACACTGGTTGCGTCTCATAGGTCTTTGTGTTCAGGCCATTTTAGTCAGGGTTATCTTGTATATACTAAAGTGCACGGTTTGTAAACATTTCAATAAATATCTTTGGAGAAGCCGACTGCTGCTACTCATATTCTAATGAAGAAGGTTTTGGACAGACAGATGTTGTAAGACAACTATCTTCTTTTTAGCAAGACTTCTCAATAAATATAATTATATATAAATATAACTGTTTCTCCAGGTTTTTGTTTTAATATGATATTGATGATATGATATTCTCTCAACCCTCTAAGATGAAGGTGTGACACTGCGATGAGATTCGATTATTACAAATTATTTTCAAAACTTCTCTCATATTTAAAGCTGCTTCAACTGCTCTGTAGTAATGATAGTTACATTTGACAAGACATTTCACTGATTTAAACAAACCACTGAATGATCACTCTGGTGGAGCATATAGGGGGGCTAGAACCAGATCAATGCATTATGCAGAAGCAACATATTCAGAGCAAATAATTATGTATGTATAGAAAAGATCACTGAGGTGTCTGAGGTGATTTTAAAACCGTGGAATCATCCTTGATCCAAAGCTGACATTTAAAAGGCAGATTTAAAAAATACCATCAAATTCAATTTGGCTAATTCTAGACACATATCAGACCATATTTAACAACAGAGGCAGCCAAGCTCTCTATGTATGCTTTGATATTTTCCCATAAATCATACTGCTTCACATGTTGTCTCAAACAAACATTACAACTCTGAAACCAATTGAGTCCTGGTAAAAAGAGAAAATAAAAACTATTGATAGAAAGACCCATAGCTACCACCATTGCCATATAATAAAAAAGTACAACCTCTTTAACTGAGGTAGTTTTAAAATTTTGCAGATGCTTGCCTCATCTTTTAGGTGTTACATGGGCTTGCTCCTCCCCCACTGAGCCAGTTCACAAAGCAGAAGGTTAGCAGCACTATTGTAAAAAGAGCATGTGCTTGAGGGGACTGTATTGTACAGTAAAGATGTGTAAGTTTGGACAAACAGCATTCTCAGTTAGAACCACTTGCTTCTGGAACAGTTTACCTATTGAACAGTGAGAATGCACTAATTACCCAACTTTTAAACATAAGCTTAAGACATGGCTTCAGGCAAATCAGACTTGCAGCTTCTAGCAATCCAACCACCTTTCTTCAGCACTTTACTTACCATAATCTTAATGCTTTTTCATACTTCTGTCACTTTTGTCATGTATTTATGTATTATATTATATTGTATGGCATGTTTATTTTAGTACTGTACTGATGACATTGGGCACTAATTTGCTACAGCCTGCCCAAGGACTATGCATGAAAATTAGCTTATTGGCAAATTCTAGTACATTCACATTGAAGTGTAAACAGCAATGTTGATTGCATTGTCCCTGGTAAATAAATAAATTAATTGATTAAATAAATAAATAAGAATAACACATATAAGGCGTGTGTCCTGACCTCTGATATCATGCAATTACCTTTATTCATACCATCATTGCTGTGTCAGACCTCATTTTAAGATTTCCTGCATTAAACATGTTAACCTTTCATCCCTGTGTGCTTTATGTCTGTTCAAATAACAGATTTGTGACTTATTACATTTGAGTGTCTTTACCACAGGAATTTTAGCTCTTGTGTTTTGGGGAATCCAGTCAATCCAATGTGTGCTTTAATGGGATAAATAAAATGATATATATTTAAATAAGCTAGGTCTACTTGGTTGTGCCAAGCTATACTCTGACATGAAGGAGTGCATTACTCAACATTAGAAATGGCGTGCATGCCAGATCCAAGTCCAGACTTTTAAAGACTGCATGGTAACGTTCACAATACACAGAACAGAAATCTTTGCTGCTCCTGGCCTGCTCAGGAGATAATCCTGAGATACTAATTTACAATTTCAAATAGCTCAGTAATTCTGCTTCAAGCCAACAAAAGCAGATAGCAGACCTTGCGGCAGGCTCATTTTATCTTAGGTGGGTGGATTCAAATTGAGGAAGCTGCTGAGTGTGAGATTCACTGACCACAAGGTTAATGGTAACCAATGATATCTTGAGTTTTAACACTGAATGGAAGTTAGTGATTGTAATACAGTAAGACCTTCAAGAAAGAAGATAGCAGTGAAAAGTCCAACACTACTGGCCGTTCTCTTGTTGCCCTTGGAGAGTAAGGGTACTTTGAATGAGATGACAGTTTCATAATAACAGCTTTGTAAACTCCCACCTATTTACTTCCATTTTTAATTGTTTTCTTCTTAATAGGTGCAAAAGGGATTAATTAGATTGAAAAGTAAAAGGTTTGTTTGTTATAGACACGATCATTAACCACAATTCTCTGGTGATGGAATTACAAATTGGGCTCATTAGAACCATTTTGTTTTGGCTCACCATGGCCTGTTTAATGATAAATGCATCCTTAGAGAGCACTGGGCAATTTACAGACATTAAATGTATTATGAATATTTTGTTGGGACAAATATGATGTATCTGTATATAATATCTATCTATAAAATCATTTTGTTCATCAGTGATACTTTACACTGTGGTTGCGCTACATAGGCCTTTGTGTTTGCTCTGTCTCTCCCTCTCCCATCTAGTTCCATTCCCCCCAGCAGCAGCACCTCTCCTGTTTTGTTTGGTTTCTGTTTTGTTTCCACTCATCAACACTCATCACAGATTGGGCTCATTAGAACCATTTAGTTTTGGCTCACCATGGCTCATTTAATGATAAATACATCTTCAGGGAACCATCATAATACACTGTTTATTTTGTGGATACAAAGTTCACAAAATGTTTGAGAGTTTGAATGTTTTGGAAATGTATGTTTAACAACAACAGAATAATGATAAATTTAATTATATTCGTCCTTGCATGGACCAGGATGGAAATCAAGCCAGCTTAGTCTTGCAGTCTCTCTATCCAGAAAGCAATCAGGAATGATGGTTGTGGTGCCTTTAGGGCTTTCTTAATTTTTTTATGAATTATTTCGTTGGTTTTTATTTTTAGTTGGAAATGAGGTACATAACTACTTCTCAGTTCAAAATAAATAATCTGTAAATTAGTATTATTTTCGTTCACACCATGACGTCACTTCCTGTTTAGCTACTTCCGGTTTATCTCCACATGCGGAAAAGAAAGCAGACATGTATGCTCTGAGACTAATCTGCTTGCATCCACTCTGGAACATCATAGAGGCAATGCCGTAAGTTAATTCATTTGACAATAGACATGTTAAAGTTCATATATTAGCAGGGATTTGTTAAAAAATTATGTTTGATAAGTTAATTTAAAAAAACGTTTTTGTTTTTACCCTAATGTGCAAGCTAACAGCCATGCTATATGCATGATGTATGTTCATATTTACAACTATGTACAATTTAGTTTAGTTAAGAACATTGAATATGTTTGTACTGCCTTTATTTACAGTTTTCACCACACAGACAGCATGTATGAAGAAGTGTCTCAGTAAAGGATCAATCTTACTACAAATCTCTCTTCATTGGCTACGGTTTAACTGAGTGTTTAGTCGGTGTTTTACACACACTGCACAAGAACATTACAGTGAAAAGGCAACTTGTGAAGTTTCGAACTGGTCAAAATGGCAACAAGCAGCAAGTCATCCAGATCTGGGAGCATCATGACATCAGCATCATCGGCAAGTGTTGCCCGGGCCCGAGCTAAAGCAGAAGCTGCCAAGGTAAGAGCATCTTATGCTAACCAAGAGGCTAAATTGAAAATGGAAAAGTCTGTCAGAGAAGCAGAAAAGACAACAAGAGATGCTCAAAATCAGTTGGAAACAGTAAGGATAGACACAGAGTTGGAAGTGTTAATGCTACACAGAGAAGCTGCTGCAGCCGTGGTGGAAGCAGAGGTGCTGGAAAACGCTGAAGCAATGCATCCTTTAGACGAAGTGGGAAAATCCGAAGCAGAAGAGGTTAAAATTGAACGCACCAAGGATTATATCCAATCTCAAATCAACCTTCAGAATCGTTCTTCCTCCCCACTCTTGGCAGGCTTACCTGTGGCTTCCCCACCCCATGCAGAATCACATGACAGCTTCGTTACATGGGACCCACAAGTGAAAGACGCTTCACAATTAGAACCTATCAATGAGCCACAGTCTGAAAAAGTGACCAGTACACACTTACCTGCATCAAACTTACCTGATTCGACTAGATTGGAGACGAAGCCTGAAGTCAGAAGAACAGACCCTACCATGGATTTTCATGCCCAGATATATGCTCCGCAACCGATTCCTCCACCTAGAATACCGCCTTTCGCTGGAGCACAGTATTTGGCACGACGAGACCTTGTCAATTCAGGACTGTACCAATTTGACGATAAGCCAGGAAATTACCGTGCATGGTACTCCTCATTTACCAATGCAGCTGATGAAGTTCACCTCACAGCCACCCAAGAACTGGATCTTATGACTAAATGGCTGGGAAAAGAATCTAGCGAACAGGTTAAACGCATACGCTCAGTGCATGTCGGTAACCCCAAACTTGCTTT